CAATAAAAAATCCGAGAAACTTCCCAGACTCAACACCAAAGACGCACTTTTTGGGATTAAGCATGACTATATGCCGCTTGAGGGTGGTGAAGGTTTCTCGAAGGTCAGAAAGGTGATCCGTCTACAGCTTGGATTTGACTATCATGTCATCAATGTACGCCCCTACATTCCTCCCAATCTGATTAATGAAGACGGTATTAATCATACGCTGGAAAGTAGCAGGCGCATTCTTCAACCCAAACGGCATCACCGTGTAGCAGAATAACCCTTGATCTGTGACGAATATCGTCTTTTCTTGATCTTTTTTTCACAAGGGTATCTGATGGAAGCCTGAGTAGGCGTCCATAAAACTCATCAAGGCATGACCGGCTGTAGAGTCGACCAGACTGTCGATCTTTGGAAGTGGATAACTATCCTTTGGACATGCCTTGTTCAGATCTGTGTAATCAACACACATCCGCCAGGTACCATTTGGCTTTTTCACAAGAACAACGTTGGCTACCCAATTCGGGTAGTAACATTGCCGAATGAACCTTGCATCCATAAACTTCTTGACCTTAACGACAGCCGCCTAAGACCTTTCCTCACCGTGATTTCTTTTCGTTTTTCTAATCGGCTTCCTCTTAGGATCCACGGCGAGTTTGTGGACGGCAAGATCCGGGCTTACGCCTGGCATCTCCTCCACTTCAAAAGCACAAATGTCTTTGAATTCTTTCAGCAGTTGGTGCAAGTCTGCACCCAACTTTGTGAAGGCAACCGTCCCCACCTTCACAGATCATTAGGGCCGGCTGTCGTCCAGAACAATATCAATACTATCACCAGCTGGCTGGGGACGGAGATCATCTGACCGTTCCCCGGTCAGCGATTGCTATTGTTTCTCTCTCTTGACGGCCACTAAGTGGTCCGCCTTTCACTTTTTGTCGGCTGCCTTGGGAGCAGGCGCGGTTTCTTGACAGTCGTCAAGGTCAGAAGACTTCCCACTTTGGCCGGCTGCAGCCACAGTGGGTTTGACGTCTGAGAGATAGCATTCTCTTGCCACCTTCTGATCTCGGCTTAGGGAGCCTACTAACCCATCATCCCTCTCGAATTTCAGCAACATGAGAGACAGGATGATGGCTGCCTTGGACTCATTGAGGATAGGACGACCCAAAATCAGGTTATAGGCGGTTAATTCTTCGACCACCAGAAGTTTTACGACCATGTGTCGCCCTTCCCCCTTTTCACCTAGCCGGATGGGTAGGTCAATCCTTCCCACTGGATGCACCACTCCTACCCCAAAACCGACCAAGGGGTTAGAGGCCTTGTGCATGCTGCTAGGTTTTTACTTGAGCTTTGCCAAGCACCTACAACTGATAAGGTCAGACCACTACAAGAAAACAGCTGGATTCTGACGGAAATTTTCCGTCGGAATAGGGCTTTCCGACGGAATTCCGTCGGAACAAGTCTGTCGCAATACACCTCGTAGGAAATTCGACGTTTTCCTAGGAAAATTCCATCGGAAGCCACTTTTCCGACGGAATCCATTTTGTCGGAGCTGGTTTTGACTTTAAACAAGAGTCCGTCGCAATTTTTCGACGAAAAATATCTGGTCTGAACATATACCCTTCCGACGGAATTTTTCGTCGAAACATATACTCTTTCGATGGAATTTTTCGTCGGAACATATCGTATTCCGACGGAATTTTTCGTCGGAACATATCCTGTTCCAACGGAATTTTTCGTCGGAACATGTCCTTTTCCGACGAATATTTCCGTCGGAAGCTCTAACGTTCCGACGGAAAATTCCGTCAGAAGAGGATATGTTCCGACGAAAATTTCCGTCGGAAGAGTATATGTTCCGACGAAAAATTCCGTCGGAATAATCCTGTTTATTTAGAAAATTAATTGATTTAGTTTGATTTTCGTCACCTATATATCCTGCACCTAATTTAAGATAACTTTGATGATGACCTCAGTTATTTCCCTAGAGAAGGTCAAAGGCTGTTCCCCAAGGTTCAGCAGTCGACGAGCTCCCGGTATCAATGAGGATCCGGCCTACTCGCTGGTTGGCGACTTTGCACTCGATGACTATGGGGACATCATGAGGCCGCCTGAACTTGTCCCGGTCTTTCTCAGAGATGATGACCGTAGGGAAGGTGTCTTTTGACTCTTGGTCCTCATCCACTGAGTTGACCTCCAGCTTCCGGATGTTATCCTTTGTGCCCCGAATAGTTGGACCACCGCCGGCGAAGCCGCCTGCTATGGTCATGATTTGCTCCTCATTAGTGTCAGAGCTTATAGCAAGGTTGTCTGGCTTCTTGGACGAATGTCCATTGTTTGCCCAGGGGTTGCCCTTGGGCTTCACAAGATAGGACTTTAAAGCCCCCTCATCAGCCAGGCGGTCCAGTAGTCGCCTGAGGGTATATCAACCATTGGTGTCATGGCCTATGGCCTGAGGGTATAACAACCATCGTTGGGCTATGCCCTTCAATGTTGCCGGAAAGCATCTGCACCAGACGACATCATCCAACCCCTGCAAATACATGAGGTTGGTGTACGCCATAAGGTGGTCTTCCGGGTTAGTGGTACCTTCATAGGCACCAACCAACACGTTCTTAACCTTGGCAGGCTGAGCCGCCTCGGTTATTTCCGTAGAGAAGGTCGAAGGCTATTTTTCAAGGTTCAGCAGTCAAAGCTGCCAGTCCATAGGCTGGACATTTTGCGCCGCCTGACCCCCGAAGAGGGCCGGCTGCATGTAAGGAGATCCATATGGCATGTATGGATGTTGGGGCACATACGGAGCCGGTTGGATAATCTGAGGGCCAGTTCGGGCAGACATGCCGCCAGACTGACTCTCTCGGTTAGTCTCTGTATACCCCATTGAGGTATTAGCGAGACTGTCTGAGAATGTCGACGTTGAAGCCGACTCAGAAAATTGTTGACTCTTCTTCTGCTGGAGGAACATCCGAGAATCAGATAACGTCCTTTTGGAACCATCCGGCTGTACTTGCCGGATGGGCTTCTTCTTCCCCGCTTCGGGGAAACGAAATTTTGAGAGATCCACCATGGGCCAATCCAGTCCATGTGGTTTTGGATGAGGAGTTGGGACCCGGTCTTTCACCGGCTTCTTCCCAGAGGGAGAAGGCTTCCTCCTTGACGGAGTAGGCTTCTTCCCAGAAGGAGATGGTTTTTTGGCCGACTGACCCTTTCGGGAGCCTGCCTTTTTGCTTATTAGGTCCCTGATTTCCCTTTAAAGCTACTCATGAATTTCATGAGTTCATCTCTGGTTACAAGGGCAGCACCCTCAGCCGTCTGGGTTTTCCCGGCCGGCTGGCCGGCTGGGTTGCTGGTGCTAGCTTTGTCATGGTCCCGTTTCTTAATCTCTTTGGGATGGGGCTGCCTGGATCTGAATGACCCATCTGGGGCCATGTAGGCTTCGACCCCTTGGTCGTCGCCACTATCTTGGTCCGTATGGACCTCAGGTTCGGCCAGAGGCCGTTTTTCATTGTTAGGAAGTACAAACTCATGGGATGCCATTCTGGAAGTACTCTCCCCACAGACGGCGCCAATGTTTCGGGGTCTTTTGATGTGTCCTGCGGGAGAGTTACAACACCAGAACTAGTAGCGAACTGCCTGTACCTGCAAAAGCACGGAGACTCCGGTTGGTTGGAGTTCCGCCACCGACGATCAAGTTAGAATACGTTTGAGTGAGTAAGGATGTGAAAAGTAAATAGTCTCTCGGATTTTGGGAGATTCTGCAATTAATATTGCTCGATATTTGTATTTTGTATTTATGACTGGGCATAAATGTCCAATAAATGAGGATTTTTCTCTATTTATAGTAGAAGGGGAGCTGTCCCCCTATTAGGGTTACTCTGCCACTTGTCAGCATCCGATTGGATCCCTTTGGGCCTCTAAGGGCTGACACGTGTCAGCAAGATATTGGGCCACGTGGCATGGGTAATTTTACCCCAAACACGAGTCAACTCCACTTCGGGTCGAATCAGATCGAATATTGAGTCAAGTTAGGTTTTGGGTTGTGTTTGGGTCGTTTATTTTTCGGATTAGCCTGACCCAAAATGGAGTTGACCTACTTTTGACTCGATACTCAAATTGACTTGGCTATACCGTATATAACCCAACTTGAAATTATTTGATACCTAAAGTGACTCGACTCGATATGAATTCGAATTAGGCCTAAATAGAAAATAGCCTAAACCGAACAAACTTGATTATTTCTAGGGATAATGAGGCGGGTCGGATGCGGAGGATGATACCTCCATACCCGCCTAAAAATCTTAAACCCATTCCCGCCCTACCACCCGTGGCAGGTACAATATCCACATCCATACCCGTTCGTCTGGTTCAAGATAGAATCCATCCCAGCCCCACCACCCATTTGGATATCCATACCCACCCTATATCCACCCCAAAACTGTCCTTAACCCACTGCCATGATGATGTATTATATCACATTAATGACAATTTTATTACATTATCACTAATAAGTATGACACCACCCACTAAAACTCTTACTGTTTAGGCAGATTGGGGCTTAGGGGATTTTAAGTTTCATAAATTATAAACTAGTCTAAAGAAAATATGAGGCGGGGCGGGTCGACTCTAATATCCATATCCGCCCCAGACCATCACCCATGGCGGGTACACATTTTATACCCATCCCCGCCCCATCACCCGCAAAACCTCCCTCCATTCCCGCCCACAGGTGGAGATTGGGCCGGTCTCCTATTTAACCCGACCCACTGTCATTCCTAATTATTTCATATCTTTTTATTTTATAATGTATAAGTGTAATGGATCTGAGCTTAACCCATAGTCTCGACCCAATTTTAAACTTGCCTAGAAATTTTAACTTAAAATGACCTGACCTGAAATTACCAGATCCGAAGTTGGACTGAAGTCTCGATTAATCCAATCACGTATTGACCCAATACACCAATTATTCGTAACTACCCAAAATAAAAAATATTCTTATATTCCCACCGTTTTAGACTACTCCGTTTAAAATTTTGTCCATACACCACATGCCTAATTGCTACGAAAGCGATGACATCACAGATCAATAACTTAAACCACTATCATCCTAAATCCCATCTTTTCACCTATATTAAATATAAACCAACCAAATCCATCACTATAAACCGAGTTCAATAACCAAAATCATTCCAAAAACAAACCCCACAAAATAAAATTCATAAACATGTCAAACAATAATCTGTTGTTATTAGAATTCTGGTCTAGCCCTTATTCTGCAAGAGTCAAAATTGCGCTACAAGAAAAGGGTATCGTAGACTATGAATGTCAACACGAAGATTTATTCAATGCTAAAAGCTCACTTCTTTTGGAGATGAACCCGGTTCACAAGAAAATCCCGGTTTTAATTCATAATGGAAAACCGGTTCCTGAGTCACTCGTTATTTTGGAGTACATTGATGAAGTTTGGAATGACAAGTCTCAGAATTTGTTGCCTGTTGATGCTTATGAGAGGGCTCGAGCTCGATTTTGGGCCGATTATAATGACAAGATGGTATGTGTTTTTCCCTAAATTTCAATAACATAATGTTTTTTTTTTTTTTTAAACAACATTTCAACAACTTTTAATACTCCGTAGTTATTTTTTTTTTTCCTTTTACCATCTTTTGCTTAGGTTTATTGACTGTTACTCCATTTTATAGATTTGTTATTATTATTATTTTAATTTAATTTTACTCTCCTTTCTTTCATTTTGAAGTAACATTGACTTATAAACTTTAAGTTATTCCACCAAATAAAATAAAATAAAATAAACTTTAAGTTATTAGCTTTGAAGTTTTTCATGATGCATAATTTAAGATAGAGGTGTTTAGAACTAACACAATCCAACCCAACCTAACCTGTTCGCAAGTAATCCGATTAAATTTTGACATGTATGAATGCAATTATTTACCATTATTTAAATTTGAAATAAGCCGAATTCGTCTTAATTGAATTGAACCTATCTAGTTACCCGAATTGAAAAAAATTTAAGGTGGTAAGTTATTGTTTGATTATCAACTGGTATTTTATTGCTAGACTAGGTTTGCCCTAACACAATATTAATTAAATCCCTACCTTATAAAAAATTTAAGATAACTCTTAGAAATAGTGTGTTACCAACTATACCTTAAAAAATGTGTATTTACATTTTTACCCTCCTTATGAATGTATTTAATTATTTTTTTTATTAAACATATAATCAATTAATTCAAAGTTTTTTTTCTTCCCTAAAAACTTGTAATACGTAGTACTTTTTTTTTTTGTTGAATAAAAAAATTTCTAATGCTTTATACTTCATAATCATATGTTTTTTTTATTAAGGTTTATTAGCTTTTGAAATTTACATTGTTTGATAGCACATAAACAATGTTATGAAATTATGAACGAGATTCATATTAAATAGTGATATTTGAGCAGATGTTATCAAGATAAAAAATTATAAAAGGGAAATCGATGATGGAAAAATAAATAAATAAATAAAAATGGTATTAATTATGGGAGAGAAAATGAAGGAATTTAAGATGAAAAATATAACTAAGTGGTTATTGTTTTAGTATTAGATAAAGATATTGGATGGTCGTAGAACATTAAATTAAAGAGCTTACATTATTAAGTTATTAGCCGTAACATTTTACATATAATTACTCTGTATGACCTAAGCGCGCTCACAAAAAAATCATTTGTAGAAAACTACATTAGAAATATTATACGAAGTACTAAGTGATTAAGGGATTTTTCCCAGCCAGTCATCATCTGAAAAGTGGATCATTCGAGTCTGCACGTGTCAAGTGCTGATCAGTCCACCTTGGACCAGTTGTGCCACGTCACGTGGCCTCCCCTATGCCAAATGGGCAAAATGGCCAGCTAGGCCCAGTTTTCGGAAGAAGCCCAATCAGCCCTAGGTTGACCTAAACCTAGGACTGACACGCTTCCCAAGGCATATAAATACATTCATTAATCTTTATTAGAGGGGATTCGGCAATTAATTACTCTCACCTAGAGAAGCAAAAGCACATTGATCACTCCTCACCTTGAGGAACCAGATCTCCCACCTTTACTTTTCCGCACTTATTACTCCTAAAACAAGTACTAACTTGACTGTTGGAGGTGGAGCTCCCACCACAAGGAGTCTCCGTTGTTTTGCAGGTACAGACACAAGGATACTAGTCCCGAAATTGTAACTCTCCCGCAGGACATCAGAAAACCCCGAAACATTTTGGCACCGTCTGTGGGGAAAGTACTTTCGAGATGGAATCACAATCTGTACCGAATCCATAAGAGAGGCGTCCAGTGGACGACCCTCAGGTTTACTCAGACCAAGATACTAATAATGAGGTCGAGGTGGAGAAGCACACGGCCTCAAACGGGACCCTAAGGGCCCGATGCATCCGTCCCACCGAGAGGAGGGAACGGGAGGATTGTCAAGCTGGTCCCAGTCAACCAGCCGGCCCACCGCCTGAGCAACAACTGGCGGCTGAGGGATCTGCTCCCATTATAAGGAACGAACTCATGACCTTCATGAGGGGATTTAAGGGAGAGATCCAAGAGTTGATTAGAAGAGAACGTCTGTTCCTACAAAGGAACGGTCAGCTAGAAAGTCCTCCCACTCTGGAAGGATGAGACCAGTTACTGATCGTACAACAACCCCCCACCCAAAGCTTGGGGCTAGGCGGTCACCAGGAAAGAGAAAGCCCATCCGTCATGTTCAAGCAGATGGGTCAAAGAAAATGTACTCTAATGCTCGATTGTTGCTAGAGCAGAAGAAGAGTGACCGACTGTCAGAGTCGGCCTCTACTTCTGATTTTCAAGACAGTCTGCACAGAGGTATTCACAATCAAATTATGAGAGCCAGACAGGCGGCACCTCCCGTCGGTCCGGATCCCATAAAAACCAGTCGGCTCCGCATGTGCCACACTAGTCATACGTGCCGCAACAACAATATTTCTTGCAACCTACTCTATTTGGAGGGCAAGCGGCGAGAAACGTCCAGCCTTTGGACTGGCAACTACGGTTGCTTAGACTTGGAGAACAGCCGTCCGCCTTCTCCAAGGAAATTATTGAGGCCGCTCTGCCGGCCAAAGTGAAGAATGTATTAGTAGGCGCTTATGATGGCACTACGAATCCAGAAGACCATCTGATGGCTTTCACCAACATGATGTACCTTCAAGGGTTGGATGATCCCATCTGGTGCAAGTGTTTCCCAGCCACTCTAAAGGGCATTGCTCAACAATGGTTCGGCAACCTGCCGACTGGTTGTGTGAACAACTTCAAGACCCTCGCTTACCTGTTCACCTCCAATTTCGCCATGAATATCCTTGCTAAAAAGACAATCCTTGACTTAGGGACCATACAACAGGGAGAGAAGGAGGGACTCCGTTCCTACATCAGGCGGTTCAACCTGATGAGGATTCAGATACAAGGGCTACCGGATGAGGTAGCCTACACTGAATTTTTCAGAGGTCTCAAGGATAGGTCGACCTTCAAATTTGACCTGGTCCGGAAGAGGATTGCTACCCTTTAAGAAGCCTTAATTGAGGCTGAAGCCTACATACAGGCGACTGACCTTTGTAATACTGGAAAGCAGTCGGATCATAAGAGGCCTGACAAAAAAGAAAATCGACAAAAGCAGTCGGCAAATAAAGATGAGAAGAAGAGGAAAGAAATCTGGGCGGCCGACTCCTCTGAACAGCCGTCCCAGAAAAAGAAGAAAGAATACAAACCATACTCTCCCAAGTATGCGTTCAACAAGGATGGCCAAGATATCCTCAATGAAATCAAGGGCCGGATCTCAATTGAGAAGCCGACCCCCATGAAAGGTTCTGCGAGCAATCGGAACCAAAATAAATTCTGTCATTTTCATGAAAACATTGGTCATGAAACCAATGAATGTATCAGCCTTATGCGCTACCTAGACCGCCTATCAGAGAAAGGCGATCTTGACTCCTACGTTAAGAAGCCCAAGGGGAAAGCTCCCCCCAAACAGAAGAAGTCGGCCAAGAAGAGCCACCGGTCAACTGACAGTTCTGATACTGATGACGCCGTCGTCTATACCATAGCAGGCGGCTTCGCAAGAGGCGGCCCCACAATCAGAGGCAACAAAGATAACATCAGGCGGTTGGATGTTAACTCCGTCAATCAAGGACAGACCACCAAGAGTACATTCCCAGAAATTGTTATCACAGAAGAGGACTTGGGAGATGTTAGGGAGCCGCATGACGACCCCATTGTCATTGAATGTAAAGTGGCCAACCAAAGGGTTGGCCGGATCCTCATAGATACCGGCAGTTCCTTTGATCTCATCAGCAACAAGTGCTTGGAAAAGCTCAAGTATAAACCTAATTGCATACATTCGGTATCTCACCCTTTAGTAGGGTTTGGAGGAAGTGTTGTACACCCAGTCGAGCGGGTGGATTTACCCATTCGCCTGGGTGAGAAAGGGGAGGGCCGTCACATGGTGGTCTAGTTTTTAGTTGTGGAAGAGCTCTCGGCCTACAACATGATCCTAGGGCGACCTACCTTGAACAAATCAAAAGCTGTCATCATTCCTTCTCTTATGCTGCTCAAGTTTGAGAAGGATGATGGAACAGTCGGCTCCCTAAGGGGAGATCAGAAGATGGCACGAGAGTGCTATCTCTCTAATATTAAACCCACTGTAGCGGCTGTTGGCCCAAGTGGAGAGAACAATGACCTTGAATAGATCAAGGAGAATGCGCCTACAACAGGCGGCAAGAAAAGAAAGGCTGCCCAACTGGGGGCCGAGAGAAAAGAAAAACGATAGCAATCACTGGCAGAGGAGCGGTCCTCAGCCGGCTGGTGAGCATACGTATGTCGTCTTGGATGACTCACGTCCCAACCGAACAATCAAAGTTGGGACGACTGCTCTTACAGTGTTGGGTGATGATCTTCACCAACTCTTGAAGGAATTCAAGGATATCTTCGTATTCGAGGTTCATGAAATGCCAGGTATAAGTCCGGACCTAGCTGTGCATAAACTAGTTGTGAATCCGTCAAAAGAAACGGAACCATGGTGAAGAAAGAAGTCAGGCGCTTGCCGCCGAGGTTAAAAAATTGCTTGATGCAGGGTTCATTCGGCAATGTTATTTCCCTGACTAGGTTGCAAACGTTGTACTGGTGAAGAAGCCGAATGGTACCTGGCGAATGTGTGTGGACTACACTGATTTGAACTAGGCGTGCCCCAAAGATAGCTATCCATTGCCTAAGATCGACAGTCTGGTCGACTCAACAGCCGACCACGCCTTAATGAGTTTCATGGACGCCTACTCCGGTTTCCATTAAATTCTCCTATGTAAGAGGGACCAAGAGAAGACGGCCTTTGTCACAGATCAGGGTCTCTATTGTTACACGGTCATGCCGTTTGGTTTGAAGAATGCTCCGACCACCTTCCAGCGAATGATAAACACGGTCTTCTTTGACCCAATTGACAGGAATGTGGAGGCGTACATAGATAATATGATTGTAAAATCCAAACTTTAGACGGACCATTTGGCCGAC